AACAGGAAAAAAACACAAATATCGATTCATCTATATTTACTGAATACGATTACAAACAGGACTATTTACATAAGTGTGTGATTAACTGTATTTATATTTGTATGTATCAACAGTAACAGTAAACATTGCAGGTGTTTGAATCTTTATTAGGCCAGGAACTGGTAAATTGTATAAGTTTTAATACTGGTTTTAGTTCACAATAGATTATGAGCACATATTATCTAAGTGACAAAAAAGGTAAACATCTACGTATGTTTATTAGAATTCATTATTTTTTTAGATCAAGATTATCTTACTATAAACAACCAGTAATAATTTTCAGGTTTATTTGTTAAGTTTTTGTGGTGGGTGCGAGAATTGGTAAACGTCTACATAATATAAGTGTAGTTTTTACACAAAGTATGTGTGGGAAAGATGCGAAGAAATTGAGATTCTACCGTCAAATACGATAGTCACAATGTACATAGGAAAGTTAAAGAACTCACAGGGGTACTAAGACGAAACCAGAAGGGAAATATAACTGATTCTGATGAAAACATCGTCTAGGGCAAACAGAGTAAAATAAGAATGTGGAAAGAATATCTAGAAAAACTATTTGAAGACCAAAGAGATAACACCTTTGAGCTAGAAAAAGTGGTCAATGATGGACCAAGAATATTCCAGCAAGAAGTTTATTCCGCAATAACACAGTTAAAGGATGGCAAAGCGGCAGGCCCTGATAATGTACAAGCATAACTACTTAAACTAATGGACAACGAATCAATAGCAATAATCGGAAAGATATTTAACAACATATACAACTCTGAGGCTGAAATCTGAGTTTATTGCCCTTTCAAAAAAACCAGGAGCCAAAAAATGTAAAGATTACCGTACTATAAGCCTCATGAATGTTTCCTAAAAATAATTTATAAGAGAATCTACAAGCTGTGTGAAAGTCAAATTTCTCCCAACCAGTTCGGGTTCACAAATTCTGTTGGTACTAGAGAGGTTTTGTTCTCACTACAAGTCTTATTCCAGAGATACAGAGACGTCAACTGCGACGTATACCCATGTCTGGTTGATTACGAGAAAGCGTTTGATCGAATACAGCACGCCAAGATGATGCGAATACTAAAAGAAGCAGGAATTAACAACCAAGATCTAATTAGAAATTTTTACTGGAATCAGACAGCAAATCTCAGAGTTGGAGGTGAACACACTGACTATGTGAAAATCAAGCGTGGAGTGAGGCAAGGCGGTATTTTGTCTCCTCTAATCTTCAATCTCTACTCTGAAAGAATATTTATTGAAGCTTTGCACGAAACTGAAAAAGTATTCGACTAAATGGTTACCGGCTAAACAACATAAGATAATATGCAGATGACATCATAGTATTTGCGGACAACTTAGAAGACCTACAAGTTCTTATGACCAAAATCACGAATTACAGTCAACAATATGGACTCACTATAAACGTTAAAAAGACAAAGCTTATGATAATTAGCAAGAAAAGGATAACAGAAGGTCAGCTCTATGTCAACCAATCCCCTGTAGAAAGAGTGACAAACTACAACTACCTCGGCACCATAATAAATGAAGAATGAACCAACAACCAGGAGATTAGAGCACGCATCGGAAAAGCTAGATCCACCTTCAATCGGATGGGGGCCTTCTTCAAGAGTCACAACCTATCTCTTGATACAAAAGTAAGAATGCTGCGATGCTACGTCTTCTCTGTCCTTTTTATGGTGTTGAATCGTGGACCTTGAACGAAGATATGTCCAGAAAACTGGAAGCATTTGAGATGTGGCTATATCGGAGAATACTTAAGATCCCGTGGACTTACCGAGTCACAAATGAGAAGGTCCTCAGAAGAATGAATAAGAACCGGGAGGTACTGACCGCCATTAAATCTCGAAGGTTACAGTTCTCACTTACCAGTCCCAGGCTGGTGGTCCTTCGTCCTTTAATTCTCTAAATAAGTTATTATCCAACCACCTAATGAATTCTAAATAGATATTACTTAGGTCCATTTAAAACTTATAATTGACATATGTTGTAAGCTTCAACAACCATAAATATCTTAAAGCCATCAGCAAACATTCAACATTAAAATTTGCGAGAGTTAGAAAGGTCATTCATAGAACAAAGTTTTTGCTGCACTGATGAACTTCCAAAATTAATAAATATTCCTCAGATAAGACATTAACAACCAGAAATTCTACCTGCCCTCTACATTTTAGTCAACTAAACTAAAAACTTTCTGTGTTTTGTCTATTGAGTTTTTAGTTTTATCCACTTCCATCAAATGGATAATTTTATTTTAGACGGATTTTATTCAGATGTTTTCCTATAGAACATAAAATTTGATAGACGCGATAGTTGTCCCGTGGAGTGAACAGCAACAATACTCCAGTTGTCAGAGACGAAAATGCCACTCAACCTCTAAAAATCATATGAACGAGCTGAATTTTGCCGAGAATATTAATTTTGGGACGCCAAAAATTATGCAAAAAAGTTTACCACTTTTATCCCCGGACTTTACCCTAAAAACCCCCTCGCAGGGGTGTAAAAACGCAAAAAAAAAACGATTTACCAAAAATCAATGTTCAATAAATTTTGTATCAGCTCAATGGTAAAAATTCGATATCTTTTGATCCAAGTGTCCTATCGACAAAAATCAAGATGCGTTTTAAAGGTACAGAGTTCATCTTTCGGATGTTATTTTTGTATTGTGCCGCAAGTAAACTTAGATTTTATAAAGCTGTTATATAAATAACGAAACGCGATTTTTGCAATTGCAAAAGATAAAAATAAAAATTAGAATCAAAAATGAAGAAATAGCAACTCATCATCATCATTTTGGCTTTACAACCCTGTGTGGGTCCTAGCCTCCCAAGAATTCTCTTCCAGTCGTCCCTATCCATCGCCTTCCTCCGCCAAGCATGTATTTCCATATTTCTCATATCTTGGTCTATGTAATCTAGGAATCTTGTGCTGGGTCTTCCTCTTCTTCTTTGACCAATAGGTCTATCAATAGCGTTTTTCTAGCTGGGTCGATTTGCTCCATCCGCATTACATGACCTACCCACCTCAGACATCCTATCTTAATGTGTTTTATGATATCTGTTTCCTGGTATATTCTATAGAGTTCAAAGTTGTATCATCTTCTCCAGATACCATTTTTATTTGCCGCTCCATAAATTCGCCTTAGTATTTTTCTTTCGAAACATCCTAACATGTTTTCATTGCTTTTTGTTAAAGTCCAGGTTTCTTAACCATATGTTAGGATTATGCGTATTATTGTTTTGTAGAGTTTTACTTTTGTATTTCTTGATATAACTGTAGATTTAAAAAGGAGATTAAGCCCAAAATAGCATCTATTAGCCATACAAATTCTGCTGTTTATCTCTGAGGTAGTGTCATTTTCAGTACTAGGAGCAACTAGTTAGTCTTAAAATACAGACGAAGCTTGTATTGCCAATAAAAGGAACTGTGGGATAAAAAAAGGTCAGAGTTATAAAAAAAAAAGCTTTTACTGACCATTTGAACAGTAAATGCACCCAATATTCATCAGGAATCGTTAATTATAGATAAAAAAAAATAAACAGGCCTCAAAAGCCCTAATAATGTAATCATGATACAAAACAAGATTTGTAGATGTAGATTTATCCTGTCTAAATCCATGTCTCAAAGATAAATTAATTAATACATGTAAAGGTTTGGATAGACTGTAGACACATCTTTTTGAGAAATATGTAGGAATATTATCAGGGCCATAACGCAGTTTATCCTTTAGACCATTTATAGACTCAGAGAGTGAAAGACTTCAGAAAGTGAAAATTGGATAAATGGAATGTCAACAGAATTTTTTACTTTAAAATTGAAGTTACTTAAATTAACTTGTCTGAGCGATAGACCCTAGAGAAATGACTGGCAGCAAGTTTGCTATTTCCTCACTTGATTCAGCTTCAACAAGCCTTTAAAATGCATGACATTTGGAATTCAGTGGCTTTTATTCAAAGAGTTTATATGGTTCCAAAATTGTTTTGAGTCAGAGTGAATAGATTCCTCAAGGTTGGAGATATAAGATCTATAGCATTAATCTGTTAATGTTTTGCATTGTGTTCTAAGATCTGAAAATAAGGTATAATCAGCTGCTAACTGAGTATGTTTGAATCTAGCATGAGCAGTTTTTTTTAAATAACAAGTTTTTTTTAAATCTGGTGAAAACCAATAAGGAACTTTTGAAGATTTATATGTTTTTTTCGGAACAAAGAGTGATATTGCTTCAGAAAGAATTTCTAAGAAATTATTTACTGAGATATTAATAGTTGAATCATTAGTTGAGACAAATTTGTTTCCTTTTACAATTTTTACTTTCCTTTGATTTTTACATTAATAATACATTCTTTGTAACAAAGGTTGAGCTTTTACATATATATGTTATAACCTATGAAGCTAATTACAATTTTAAAATATTTAACAAATAATCACTAGTTTTATTTTTAGACTTGTAAATTAATGTGGTCAATGTCAAGAGATAAGCTCATTAAAACTAATATTTTACGTTATCACCAAAAGTTTTTAAATATTTTGAAGTAATAATCAATGTAAATATTATAAATTAATTATGAATCAAAGTAGCTAAGGTCACTAAAATAAGTTGACCACATTTTTCACTTCTATTGCATTGAACTTGGAATACCATCCACTTAATATGCAAGAGGTAATACTTCAATATGCTAATTTGAGAATTAGAAGGAGTGGTTGATAAACTTGTTAAAAATCATTCATATTAAATACAAATATTTCTAATATGGATGAAAACCTCTCTAAGCAGTGATGGTATGCCTACTTATTGCTTTCTAATCTCTCACTTCTCAAGTAAATGAACATTTGTGCTAAACCTGTATTTTCATATCCACCTACTTCATTCAAAAATTCTTATCTGTTTTATATCAAATATTATGATAAACTTGTCATCATTTTGTTTATTTATTTACTGGTTGTATACTTACCTGTGTGGGCTAGAACAGTTGTAGAATGTTGCAGTTCAGAGTCATCAAACTCAAGATTTGGCTCATAATCATGATAATCTGAGAGACTTGGGTAGGGTTCATCATTGTCAGTCCCAAAATTATTCACTGTAAAATATTTTACAGGTAAATAACATTCAAAAACATTAAAATTCAACCATTGTCTTACCAGGAGTTCCTTTACTGGGACTAAATTGAGGTTTATCCATGATTGTTTTTGAAAATATAATTCACAATTAGGAAAACATGACTAGAACCAGAAATAATTATTTGCTCATTTATTAAATCACTAATCACACAATTTTTTACTTTACTGCACAAAAAACATCCTTGATAGAAAACATAAACTGACAAATCTCGCAAATAAAGCTGTTGTCACAAAACAAAATTTAATAAAGACATAGATCAACTTATGTTTGATTGGCTATAGTATTCAATTTTTAAATCAATTTGGCAAATGGGTGCTCGCTGGGACTGAATGCTAGAGACTTATATTTTTTTAGCTGTTAGTTTTGTTAGGAGACATCTTCTAACCAATCAAAAACAAGCACTTCATGACAATCATGACATTTAAATGTAACCAGGGCTGGACTGAAGTGCGTGAAAATAAATTCAAATCACATAAAAAAAAACAATTAAAAAATTAAATATTTTTTTATACTTGATTTGGTTGGAACATAATACTCTAAATTAAAACTGGGAGTTTCTACGGTATAGGATACTTTTTATATATTTTTCATTAGTTATTGAATTGGGAATAAATCACAATTCAAAAACAAATACATTCTTTGACAATCATAATAACTCAACAAAAAATAGCATCCACCAGGATCAAACAAAATTTTAGACAACAGATATAACTTTATTATATTGCAAAATAAAAGCGCCTGGAATGACTGTTGGGTGGATTAAGTAGCTTAACAGTCTTTCTTGCCGGTCCCAAGCCCGGATAAAGGAGGAGGGTTAAGCGGAAGGCCACAACCTGCCCTTGTAAAAAACAGTCTGTAATGAAAACTGCAAATTTGCCTCTGAATCGCACAGATACATATGGAAAACAACAATCGCAATGGACAAGGACTTTGAATGTTGGAACAAGGAATGTTCTAAGTTGGTACTGGACGGGAGCATCTATACATGCAATAAAACAGTTAGAAAAAGTAGGAATGGACATTACGGCAATACAAGAACTACGGTAGACAGACACGGGAAACATAAAAATAGATAAGACGGTCATTTTCTACAGTGGAAACAAGACAGGAAAATACGAATTTGGCACAGGTTTCGTAGTACGAGAAGAATACCTGAACATATAAGATTCACGCCCATTAGTGAAGACTTTGTTATATTAGACTGAAAGGAAAATGGTACAATATCTCAATTATATCCGCACATGCTCCTACAGAAGATAAAGACGAACATATTAAAGATTAGTTCTATGAAGAACTCGAAAGAACGCTTGAAAAAATCCCCAAACAAGACATGCAGATAATCTGTGGAGACTTCAACGCGAAAATTGGCAAAGAACCTAACCTAAGACCGACAATAGGACAACACATTCTCCACGATATCTCAAACGACAATGGACAAAGGCTCGTAGAAGTAGCATCGGCTAACAATATGCTTGTAAAGTCTACTATGTTCCAACATAAAAAACATTCATAAACAGACTTGGGTCTCTAATGACCACTCCATGCGGAACCAAATTGACCACATACGTATCGATGCTAGACATGGAAGTAATGTGCTGGATGTAAGAAGCCTTAGGGGAGTAGATAGAGATATTGACCATCACCTAGTAAGAGCAAAAACAGGTTGAGAATATCTTCACAGGAACCTAAGGCCAACGAAGTATTGGGACATTGGAACATCGAGAAAATGCAGAATGAGAAAATTCGAGAAAATTACAAACAAGAAATTAAACAGCATCTAAATACAGTAGGCCAGAGCAATGATGTCGAAAGGCTGTGGCAACAAATATAAAAATTAATTACGGAGTCAGCAGAACTAATAATAGGAAAAGGCAGGAAGAGAACAAGGAAATGGTTTGATAAAGAATGATAGAGAACATACATCAAGAGGAAGAACATGGAGAAAATATATATTTTTTTACCTACCGGTACCTACCGGTAGAGGAACCCAAAATAGATGAAACTTTGCAAGCAATTAACGAATTGAAGAACGGAAAAGCTCCAGTCTCTGACAATATACTGGCTGAATTCGTTAAGTAAGGAGGAGAAACTCAACATAGACAAATACACAAACTAATAACACTTATATGGAACGAAGAGAAAATATCAACAAAATGGCACGAAAGTGTAATAATCCCCATCCATATAAAGGGAGACAGTGCTCTAATTATAGAGGCTTCTCCCTACTTAATACGGCATATAAAATCTTATCGAACATCCTATTAAGTAGGCTGACACCGTTTGTAGAAAACTTCATGGGGGAATACCAAGCCGGCTTCAGAAAACATAGATCGACCATAGATCAGATCTTTACTCTAAGACAGCTGCTTGAAAAAGGATGGGAATTCAATAAACCTATCCATAATCTCTTTATAGATTTCCGGCAAGTGTACGACAGCGTTTAAAGGGATCAGATAAGAAATGTAATGGCAGAACTTTAGTTCCAAAAAAACTTATCCAGCTTGTTAAGTTATGTATGAATAGGTGTAGATCCAGAGTACGGATAGGTAACAAACTCTCAGAATCTTTCGAAATAAGTAGTGGATTGACACAAGGAGATGCGCTGTCACCTTTCCTTTTTAATATCATCCTGGAGAAAGTAGTAAGAGCAGCACAACTTATAACAGAATTACTGACAGTAAATGGACCAAAATTAATACTAGCATACGCAGATGACAGAAAACCAATTACATGTGCATCAACAGACAAAAGGGACGAGATAGAATAGGCAAAATGTTACAATAGACCCATATAAATTTTGAGAACGATTTTCGAAGTGGAAATTGAAACGTCAATAAACGTACTTTAACTTTTAATTGTGGCTCATTCACATTTAAATAGTACTTACTTTAAAATGCCACAAGAAAATAGCTTCAGAACAATATTAAAAAACCGTTATGGGACCAGCGTTATTCAAAATTTTCGGAGCTTGGAAATTCTATACAAGAAACTGGCACATTGTCAAAATTGAATTAAATTTTACGAAGATGTAGAGACAACAACTCAAGACCTATATAACTTTGAAAGAGTGGGGAGTTTTAAATATCAAGGAGCAACAATCACTGCAGATAACGACATCGCGGAAGAGATTACAGGAAGAATTCAGGCAGCAAACAGATGTATGTACAGCCTCCACAATACTATTAAATCTAAAAGCCTAACACGAACATCAAAGATTAGAATATATAAAACGGTGATGAGACCGGTGCTCATGTATGGGTGTGAGACGTGAACCCGGACCAAAAAAACTGAAAGAAAACTTAGATGTATTGAGAGGAAAATCCTTAGGGGAATCTTTGAGCCTTATCACGACATTAATAGCAACCAATACCGAATGAGAACAAATGCTGAGGTCAAGCAGATGTATAGACATAGTCCAAGAGAGTTTATCCCAATGTCTAAGATGGGCTGGCTATGTTCATAGACTCCCTAATAACCGCCTTGCCAAATTAATAAGAGGAGGAAGCCCCCACAGGAAGAAGACACTTAGGACGTCCACGAATGCAATGGAGAGACAATATATGGTCAGATCTAAGAACAAAGGGGCTATTCACTTACCCAACTATTATGGAGGACCTTTCAAGATGGAAGCAAGTTGTGCAGTCAGCCCAGACCCACCCCGGGCTGTAGTGTTACGAGATGAAGAAGAATAATAATAAAAGCGTATTCAAACGTATATAACATATTAAAGCAGATTCTCTAAAGAATGTCATATTTTTGCAGTACTTTTCATTGCGTACATTTACATTTATATCAATAAATATAAGATGGACTATTAAAACATCTATTATTTAAGTTCCCTGGTATCTAATAAAACTTCCCTACATAAGCGAAATCTTTAATCCAATTTCAAAATCTTGACAGAGATTTTGAAATTCCCTTAGCGTTACAAAAGTAGAGGATTACTTAGAACAAAAGGTGGTAAAACAATCTGAGAAGGTTATTATAATAATAGCAGTAAAAATATATCAAGAAATAAAAGCAGATGCCATTTTAGTAGCTCCGGTGAACCGAAAATGGTTTCTAGATAATACGTAAGTTAATTTTTCTTAAAACAAAACAAAATTACAATACCTAGAAGAGACGACTGAGAAAACAACTAGCCAGTAACAACAAGTCAAGTGTGGGTGACCCGGATTATATTTCCGGCACAGATACTAGACGTTTTACAATGTTTAATTTAACTGAGTCGTCACCGTGCTTCGGAGGGCACAAAAGCCGTCGATTTCGGTTACGCAAGTAACCGATATATATATAATATATATATATATATATATATATATATATAATATATATATATATATATATATATATATATATATATATATATATATATATATATATATATGACAAGCTAGGTATACAGACAATTCCAAAATTGACATAGTTACAAAAGCTGGTATAGAACCAAAGGTAGAGAAAAAGACAATTGTAATCCACTCTGTGCGACAGACTTAAAAATACTCAGTCCTTGCAGGTTGGTTCAAATCTTATGTGGGACAGTTTAAATCGTCGTGTAGTGGAAAATCAGTCTCACAGTCTCAGAACCTCTGTAACGCAATTTTTTTTTTTCTGATTAATTTACAAAACTCTTATTCTTACTTATATTCACTGAAGAACAATTTAAAACACAACTTTTATTGAGTTTGACTTTTGAACTTTGAGGAATGTTATAGAATTTATGTGTATCAATTAAAAAGGTAAAATTTCATTAAAAATAAGAATAGTTTTTGAAAGGAAGCTTTCCGCTAGTTACCAACCTGTTAAAATCGGAACTGACCTGTCCAAATCATTTAAAGCCCACAAATTTATTTTCCATAACATAAGTGTCGGATTTTTGAACACTCAGAGTCGGCTTCCGGCAACTCGATGTCGGCTACAATGACAATTCTTGTCAAAATACTGAATCTGCGTTTGTCAGGAATTTAAGTTGCAAAAATAATTCTTAAATAATTAAGTTATATATGTTAATGTATGTTATATTGAATACCGTAGGGTATTACGCTTTTTAAAGTATTAATGTGTACGTGCGATGCTAACAGAAATGCAAGTTTTCACAGCATTTATGGTAAGAGGTAATCCTAACCTACATACCTGGGAAAAACTAATTTTATCCACTTTCTTTCAGAATGTTGAGTGTACTCGGTCGTATATCGATGACTTGTACTCAA